TTGACAATTTTTAACAACAGAGGGTGCTACATAACACACTTTCAGGAAAAGTCACGGACTGGGAGACTTTAATATTGTATTGAAAAAAGTTAACATACAATACAAAAACAAGTTGTGGGTCAAATTGAACCGATGGCGGTTCTATATAATTGTAGAATGAACACAGTCTTCCTTTGAATATGTATAAGTCAGGTGTCTTGAGTAGTCAAAATTACCTACAAATCATTGTACACATTTGTAAATATTATTTTCCACTTGTTACCATTGTGAGTCTATTTTTATGCAGCTCTGCGTGATTTTGTGGCTACAATTCAGGCTAATACGCTACCAGAGGTGGAATAAGTACTCAGATGTTGTACTTGAGTAAAAGTAGAAGTACTCAGATCTTGTACTTGAGTCAAAGGTAGAAGTACTCAGATCTTGTACTTGAGTAAAAGTAGAAGTACCAGAGTGTAGGAATACTCTGTTACAGTAAAAGTCCTGCATTCAAAATGTTACTCAAGTAAAAGTAGAAAAGTATTATCATCAAAATATAGTTAAAGTACCAAAAGTAAAAGTAGTCATTGTGCAGATTGGTGCATTTCAGAATAATATATGATATGTTTTATAATGATTGATCATGAAAGTGTTCTCAAAGCTGGTAAAGGTGCAGCTAGTTTGAATGACTTTGTATACTGCAGGGTAGCTTGTGAATTTACTCCAGGTGGAACTAAAGTCTGATTCAACACTTGATTATATTTCACATCATTCATCCAGATCTATAAAGTAACTAAAGGTATTAAATACATGTAGTGGAGAAAAAGTACATGATTTACCACTGAATTGTAGAGGGGTAGAAGTACAAAGTAACCTAAAATGGAAATAGTAAAGTGAAGTACAAGAACCTTGATATTGTACTTAAGCTACAGTACTTGAGTAAATGTGCTTAAAAACCTTACACCACTGGACATGAGCTATGCGAAGCCTTAGACCAGGGGTGTCCAAACTTTTTTCACCGAGGGCCACATACAGTACAGAAAAAGATATGAACGGCTGGGCCACTCACTAGAGGTGAGGTGTATCGCGTTATCCGTTCAGTTATAAGTTAGCAAAATCAATCAAATGTAGGTAAATAATGCTTTATACTTGAAAATGAAACTACCTATCACAGCTTTCCATAGGGTTTCATTTATTGTGTTGGCAGCTCATTCCCTAAAACAGAAAGAGGAAATATGAAGGGTGTATTTCAAGCTTGTTATGTTATTAAGTCATTGGACTTTTATCAACTAAGATTTATTTGAGAATGTTTCCAACTTTAATTAACTGAATTTATTTGAAAAGTGGTCTTTTTAACACATGAATACTACTGTGTAATATATGTTTACATATATATTTAAGAAGTACAATATATGACAAGCACAAGTTTCATTATGTGGGCCGTATTTCATTATACTTTTGGAATTAGCTGAGGGCCGATTCAAAATGGACCCCGGGCCGTAGTTTGGACACCCCTGCTTTAGACAGACCCAGACAGCCAGAAATTGTAGAAATAGCAACAAATTCACAAAATAAGTTTTAATAAAGTGAAGAGTGCCACTGACCTGGCTGATGTTCCCCCCGGCGAGGCCCACCAGAGTGGGGAACCAGTCGCTGATGTGCAGCAGAGCTTTGGACACCCGTCTCCTGCGTCTCAACAGCGGGCTGTGGACAAACGCCACTCCACGAACTCCCCCTTCCCAATATGTGCCCTAAAAACACTGCCAGGTTATATTCTCATGCAAGTTGTTATGTACATTTGTTAACCCCTCTTTGTTTGACACAGAAAGGACAAAAAACCAGACTAAACGTTTAAGTTCCCTCATCCAAAAACTGCTGAATAAATTCAATAATGTAACTGTGGCAGTTCTTAGATCTTTTTCTAAAACTGGGGCAGAAAACAAAGGTGCTTCTTGTTACCATAATGACAGGGTCATCAGTAACTCACTTTCAGCTCTACACGACATGTTAGATTTAGCATGTCCTCAACAACTTGAATAGTTTACATGTAAATAAGCCAGCAAGTCTTCTCAGCCTCAACGTCAAGCAGTAAGACTCCTCTCCTTTGGAATCGTCTTCTATTTTAAATCCGCGAAGCTATTTCCGTTGACTCCTTTAAAAGCAAACGGAAAACCCATCTCTCCGCATCTGTCTTCCTTGTAAACTAGCTTCCAACCATCAACATTACCAGCACTTCAGTCGCAGGCTTTTATCCCATGGCAATACTTGTGTTGAGGTATAATGTTGTATAATGTTTTTAGAATTGTTATGCTATGACGTTTGTATTTTGTTTTTGCTTTTATTTGCTTTGTGGCACTTCTTGTGATTTGGGGCTAGAATAAATGTTGATTTGATTTGACTCACGCACAACATACGAGAAGTCATTTGGTACCTTTCGTCCTCGCAGCGGCCAGTTGCTGCCTCCTGTGAACGGCTGGGCTCCGTTGTCGGTGGAGTAGATGATGACGCTGTTCCTGTAGTATCCCAACTTCCTCAGGGCGTAGGTGACGTTTCGCACCGCCTCGTCCACCGTGGACACCATGGCGGCATACTTCCTGCGGGCGACGTTAGCCATGTCCCGGTACGGGTAGATGTAGGACTTGGGAGGCTGCAGAGGAGTGTGGACTGCCTGCAGGAAAATAATAACAACAGGGTATTTACACAAGTTCACTTTGAACATTTTTTTTATTCATTTCTGGTGCAGAACTTAACATAATACATACAAACAACAATGCAAAGTACACTATAATCATTACTATTATTTAAATTAGTGTAGTCAAATGTTTCATGGAAAATCTGTTAGTTCTGATATTCATGTTTTTGTTTGTGGGAGGAAAAAGGGGCTAAAAGAGAAACATTTACAGATATAAGAGTCTGACTGTTTTATTTTCTTAATATACATAAAAACTGAAAAGTGTGAAATAAATAAAGGTTGCTTTTAAAAAAAGTAAATGCACAAAAGTGTTGAAAAAAGCCCACTCGTCTTAGTCAAATTAATAATTTATGTTTAAATGTGGATAGTTATGTAAATTGTAATCCCTGTAATGATGCTGTAAGATGTCAATGGGATACACCTGGATAAATAAAGGTTTGAAATGAAATTTTAAACTGTGATCAGCATTTGTATCAGGGTATTATTTATTTCTATATTATGCAAGTGTTAAACTGTATATTGATATTTTAAACTAGGTTATTTTGGATAAAATCCTATAATTTAGTGCAGCTAATCCACTTTACTCAACCTTTTATTTTCTCCATCTACTTCTGTTGGTCATTTGCTACATTTCCCAGAATGCACCACAACACTTACTCATGATGCTTAAGTTGGAACTCAGTGTTCTCTACTCCCTATGTGGAAACATTAAGTAAAACGTCCTTTGTTTAGCCTTTCCTTGTGTGGACAGATACTTCAAATCAGATTTTTTTTCTTTCTGTTGAAAGCCTTTTAAGCCATGCTTTAATCAAATGGTTTACAATGTTAGCGAAACAGTGTCTGCTCACAGATAAACAAACACTCTAAAGAGGCCTTTGTGTTATTGTCAAGTTTCAGACTCGCCACATCCAGACATAAACCAGCATCAAAGGAAGAAAGGCTGTGTTGGATTTCACATATTCTCTGCAGTTTTCTGTCTCTCTTTTGGATTTGAAGGGGCTGTAATCCTGTGAACCTGATTCTGATTTGTCCTAGTGATACCTGGAGGGAGAGCAGCAGGAAGAGCGGCCTCTCCGTGGGGTCGTGAGTCTCCAGGATCTTGCGGGCTCTCTGTGTGAAAAGCGTTGTGGAGTATTTCCCTTCCTGGCCCCACGCCACGCCCTCGTCCTCGTGGAGATCATACCCACAAACCCCGGGGCCGTCGCACGACCCGTAGCTGAGGACAGAGGGAGACACGTGAGTTAGGGCTAGTGACAAGATACGATAATCATTTATTGTCAGATCAAGTCTGGGATGTTTCTTGCATCACAGCCGCTCCATTTACAACATCGAACAAGGACGAATATTAAAGATTCCCTATTATACTCGTCACGGCAGCGTCACAAGTAACATGTAATGATAAAACAAGGCGTTGCACATAATGTGAAAATAATATAAATACAAAAAAAGTAAGCAAACACAAAAGGTAAACATCTCAAAATCGAAAATAAAACAGAACCAAAGAGTAAAATAAACACATGTTCACAGTGAAAGATACAAATGTGTAGACTATCTGTCAAATAAACATAAGGGGCCAAATGACAGCTAACAACATGTAAAAGTAGGATATTATATACATTAAGAGTGCAAGGAATAGCATATTACATTTTATATAAATGTAATATGTACAGTGTGAAGACAAGTCCAGTTATATCCAGTCATCAAAAGAGAAACCATGGAGCTGTGAGTACGTTAATCCGGGTTAAATGTGAACATAATAATCCTATAGCTGTACCTGTAGTAATCCACACTTCCTGTTAGAGATCCAAAGAAACTGTCAAAGCCCTTTCTGGTGGGCAGGCACGCCTTCCTGCAGGGGAGACAAAGAAAACCGATTTCTATCAAAGGTTCAAAGGGCTTTTGTTACGATTATTGTGTTATGTCACGTTTTGTATGTCTTGTTTTGGGTGTTTTGCTGTTCTCCCTGTCATGCTTTCCCTTGGTATATCGTCTGGTCCTTTTCCCTGTGTTTTTCCTCCTGTCGTTAGTTTCCCTGGTGTGTCTGATTGTGTTCACCTGTTGCCCTTGTGTTTCTCCTCCCTTACCCGGCTGTTTCTCGTCTTGTGATTACCCCTCCCTGTATTTAGTCTTGTCTCTTCCTGTGTTCAGTGTTGGTTCGTCTTTTGTTTGTGGATTAAGTTCTCCGGTGAGTGTTCTGTTTAGTTGAAATTAGTAATATATCCTTGAAATAAAGGTGTTTTCAGTTTAAATCTGCATTTGGGTCCTGCCTGCTTTACACACCGTAACAGCTTTAAAGGTCTCCTATCATGCAAAATACACTTTTTGATGTCTTTTATACATAAATGTGTGTCCCCGGTGTGTCAGGGAACTCACAAAGTGTCAGAAAACTAAACCCTCTCTTTTCTTCCGTACCCAAATCTCTAAAATGGGGGAACAATGGAGCTGATCCAGATTTGCATCCATGCGGACCCACGGCACGATCAGAAACGTTGCTATCAGAAACAATGCACCAGGTGTTTTGGACGTAATGGTCTTTGTTTACATTAGCAAGCATCGCTAACACTCAGAGCTAACCTGTGGAGAGAGTATATGTAAGAAAATCAGGATATAAAAAGCTACTGACCCACCTTGTGGTAAACCCGCAAGAGATAACGCATTTGAGGTAGGTTTTGAACATGATATGGTGTTTAATCACTGCAGCATTTAGCTGTATCTGGGTAGAATTCTCCTGCATAAGCTCCGCCCCCCTCTTTAAAAAAGAAAAAAAAAAAAGAGGCTTTATACCCAGAATCAGCACTTTAGTAACAGGGCTGAAATAGAGGGGTATGAGGCATGGCTAGCATGGGTGATCTGTTTGGTATTTTGAGCAAAACACTTAATAGACATGTTTTTTATATATTTGAGACCTTTAATATAGGCCTAAGAATTGCATCATAGGAGACCTTTAATAGTGAGAGAGAACAGCTGCTCCAGATTACTCCACCTGAGAAGCACCATCTCACCTGTAGAAACCCAGGTGCCACTTGCCCACCATGTGTGTGGAGTACCCGGCCTCTCGGAGCCTCTGGGGCAGCGTGTCCATGTGAGCGGGCAGACAGCTGGGCTGGCTGGGTCTGATGATCGAGTGCTGCAGGCCTGTGTGGATTTGATATCTGGGAGAAAAGCAACATTTGATTGGCTCTCTGACAGAGGAACATCCCACTTATCAAATATCCGTCCCCATAAGTGTCTCAGAATCAGAATTCCTTTATTAGTCCCGCAGTAACTGCAAAACGTGGCAAAGCAGGTTAAGAACAAGGCAGGTAATAATAAAGAATACGCTCACTCATATAGAGAACAAGAGCACACATTAGTGATAACACAATACACGTAAAGATAATTAAGTACACATCCATGGCTAACAATGAAAAGCAGCGATTTAAACAAAGTTACATGGGTATCATATTAGGTGTTGAGACATTTAAAACAATGTCACTCGTTGAGCTCAATCATCGCCATAAGGCCAAATATTTCCAGCTTCTAAAGAACGGAGAATCTTAAGATTATTTAGTTTTGTATTGGTCCGTGTTTGAAAGAGATTTTATAGTTTCAATGACAACGAGGTCACCCCGATTGATTTTACACTGGATTTATCTGAAATATTGAAACGTTGTTTTATTTAATATATAGGGATGGCAT